ACAGCTCTGCCAGTGCTGGAGATATATATATGGTATAACAGTTGCATAGTTAATCCACCCATTTTATGGATGAGAAAACTGAGGGCCAGAGAGATGAAATCACTTTCCCGAGGGTGATTCAGCTAGTAGATGCAGATAGATTCAGTTCTAGAGACACATCTCCTGACCCCATCAGTGCTCTGTCTGCCAGACAACTCTGCCTCTGACAGTTGCTTCTACACATGGACATAGCAGGCTCTTCTGACTTCTCCTGTCCTTTGTCCATGGAAGAAAACAGAAACACAGCCTTTCCCGTCATGACTCCTATGTCATGCAGACCAGGTTCCTCAGCTTCAGCTGGGCGCTTCTCCAAGACTGCTAGATCCAGGCCCTGAAGAGTTTCAGAAGACAGCACAGTCATGGCACAGGCTGCCACCTCTTCCCTTTGGCAGCTGATTAACTTCTGGGGTGAATCGGTGATTTTCTGAAAAATAATTTTCATTAATATTCATTAGATGAATAGTAATTGTAAAGTAGTACTAGTCGTAGAGCCTATCACAAAATCCCAATTATTCCATTAATTAAATCTCAAACAACAAAAAAGCCTGAAGACAATTGTAACTCCTAGATCGGGGGCTTCCAACAGTTTCTGAGATCATCTCCCAGTTCACTGCCCAGCAGATCTGTTGGGGCCCTGCTCCATCAGCTATCTTCTCTGTGGGATCCTACCCCACAAAAGCCCAGAACGTAATTCTTGTCAAAAAATCTAACATTCTTCTACCAGAGAGCTCTGAAAATAATGATCTGATAGGAGATGCTCTACATACATCACCTAATAGGGTGCCCAGTCCAGAGATGATGCTTCAGAAACACGAGTCTTTTCCCAGCTCATATTTTATGTTCCTGACATCTTCTCCCAATGTCCTCAATACTTAATCATGACTGATGATAAAACTCCAGGTATCAACTTTTCAGAGAGACCCTCCCCAACCATTGCTAGCTTGCTCACTTCCACCATTTGGAGGTTCTTCTGCAGTTGTTATCTCTCATGGCCCTTCCTGTCATCACTCCAAAGAGTGGCACATGAGCACAGATAAATCGGCACAATGGTCTCCTCCACCTCAGTCCGCAGAAGACATCGGCTTCATTGAGTCAGTTGCCTTTGATCCTTGTTTGTAAAGAAGCAGCTTCAGGGGCTCACTCTTAGTGTCCTCATGCAAATAATGGGAAAGGACAATGTACAAGCAGGGCTCACTGAGTGGGGGTGTCTTTGCGAAACCCACCACCAATTCACTGCTGCCGGTCCAGTCAGATTCTCAGGACACTGGCTACTAAATCTGCAGTGGTTATACTTGATTATTTTTTTTAATTCTGGAGCAGCACTGTCCAAGAGAAATATAATATGAGCCACACAGGCAATTTAAAATTCTCTAGCAGTACATTTTAAAAAGTAAAAAGAAACAGGTAAAATTAATTTTAATACTATGTTTTATTTAAAAATCTTTCAACATGTAATTAATGTAATATATTCCTATAATGCTTTACATTCTTTTTTTGTACTGAGTCTTCATATCCACTGTGTATGTTATATATACAGCACATCTTAATCGGCACTAGCCACATTTCAAGTGTCTAACAGTCACCCGTGGCTAGTGACAACTATATTGGAGAGCGTAGTTGTAGAACACTGAAGTAAAACAACATAATCTCAGAATTTCAGAAGCTACAAAACTGTTGTCCCACAGGTTAGAACGAACTTTCAAGCAAGATTCAGTAGATATATACATTTTCAGGTTGAATTAGTTTTCACCGTTTAAAACCCAGGAGATCTCTCATGAAAGTCTAGATTTTTTGGTTTCTCATTTAAAACTTGAGAATCTGGTAGAACTGGCTCACATCCATTCTCTGTTGGCAGCAACCTGCTGCAATTGAGAAGCAGCTGCCTTCTTTAGCTGGAATATGTTTCTCATGGTCCCCATTGAATTACATTAATTGTACTGCATACTCTTTTTTGTTGTTGTTCCTATCTGGGCCCCAGAGGCATCTGAGCTCACAAACTCCACTTTCTATGAAGCAGAAAAAGTCATACTTGGAATGGTTTATTGACAAATGAACAACTGGGGGCCATCTTTATGCTGGCTACTCACATTACAGTGGATGTGACAGCAAGAAGAGAAAGGATAAAGTGAGTTATGGAAAGGAAAGGCAGACCCTTTAGCACCGAAGCCTCCACTCCCACGAAGAAATTATGGATGAAAGATAAGAAAAAGAAATTATACTTTCAAACAGGGAATATACACTGAGCGGTCTTAATATAATTTTCCTTGCATATATATTTCTGCTTTAGGCTGTTACTCGGTGGTATCGACTTGAATGGAAAGTCATTCTTAATGGTATATTTCAGACTACAGCCAACACCAACTACAAAATTATAGATGTAGACATGAAATATTTAATCCAAGCAGATAAATTAAACACTTACAAACTCAATAGGGCGTTTTAAAGAATTGTCAAAGATTTCTGCTTGATAATTTTCTATGGTTTAATTGGAAAAATGCATAGATTTTTCAAGAGTTGTTGGAAGTTGCTTTTTAATAATTTAGAGGATTATCCAGAACTAATGTAAATGTGAAAGTGCAGCCGGACTGTACTAAAGTCCAGGCTGAGAGAGGGAGAGACGGCGGTGGTGATGGACAGCTTCAGCATCTGTTTGAGATTTAACACCAGTGATCTATTTCTTACACAGCACTGTGGGAAAGTCACATACTCAGAGAAATTGTCCACTTAAAATATCTGGGGATAAACAAAATAAAAACGAAAAGCCTTATGGAAAGAAATGCATTTAGGAGCAGACAATGAAATGACGTCGGGAGGATAGTAAGGGGAACAGAGAAGCAAAGTTCATCGGAAGTAGTGGTATCGTCTTCCACGGGTGAAAATGGTCGTACCCGCATAGTCTCCTTGTCTCTGGCCTCATTTAAGTTATCTGTTTTTCTCCAAAAGCTCTTTTAGGGTGTGGCTCATAACACATTAGAATCCCTAGTTGTTGTCATTTGAGGGCTCTTCATGGCACCTGAAATTCTGTAAGGAACTGGCCCTTTACATGGTTCTGTCCCTGGCCTTTTACTCTGTTGCTCACTAACAAGACACAGGGTCTTGGAAGGGATCGTAGTACCCCTGATCCTGAAGCAGGGAGGCAACTCTGCTGGGCCGACAAATGTAGGACCAGAAGGGGAATAATGAGAGAGGGCGTTAGAAATGGCATGACCTGTGACTAGGGTGTGGGCATGGGCAACAGGATTAAGAGAGAACCCACAAAGGGTGACTACTTGATGGAGTCCAGCTGAGGAAGGTGGAGCTTTTCACCATGTGTGGGAAAGAAGAGCCAGCGACCTGCTTGAGCCAGGAATGCTCCCCTTATATTATTATCATTTTGGATTAGTTCAGGCAGTCCTCTTTCACTGCAGGGTTCTGCTTCTATTTATGGCAGAGGAACACCAATCAGACCAATCCTCCTCTAGACAATTACTTCAAAAACTGATCAAAATAGGAAACCAGCTTCCTTTATTCATCGGAGAGCAACAAAAAGTTGGCACTTGGAAGAACAGAATGTCACTCGGTTTCCCATTTGTTGCAGTTCCTTGTCTGAGGATAGGTTTTTCTTGGTGCCATGAACAATGAGAGTCTTACTGGCCTGAAGGACCAGAAAGCACATATGAATACTAACACAAAAGCCAGAAAATGAGAGGAGCAGAGTTCAGTGTTAATGGACTAAACATACCAATTAAATGGAAGAGATTATTGACATAGATTTGTTTCTTATAAAAGAACCACTATATGCTGCTAGAAGAGCCACACGTTAAATATAAAGACACAGATAA